CAATGCATGTTCTTTGTGTGAGTTATTATTTGACTATTTGGGCAGAGAGTGGATTTTCTTAGTTTTTTTCCACACAGTTAGTGCCACTTTATTCCCAAACTCTTGTTATTTGTATCGAGAAATATTAAATAAAGCTTAATGTCAAGGCCTGGACTTAAGCATTTTGATGAGAATAACTGTATATTGTGAATATAGGCTACAGAGTATACTGTATACATTATAAGATAAGATACGATATACTTTATATATCACACAGAGTATGTACAGTATATATTTTTTTTACATTAGTACTGTATACATTTTTACATTTTCTCCTGGAGGTGTGCCGCAAGATTTTTTCAGTGAAAAAAGTGTGCCTTGGCTCAAAAAAGGTTGAAAAACACTGGACTAGACATTGGCAATAGAAGCGTTCACATACCGCAGTCTCGCTCCTCCTCCTCTTTCTCCGCTCACTCACAGGATTTGCAGCTTCTCCTCACACACAGAAGTCTTTGTCAATTTGGATACAGCTATAGTGTGAGCGGTGGAACGCCAGCCTCCATCGCTCCCCACAGTGCGCTCACACCCGTCACTGACTCAATCTGATTTGTACGCTACAGGTATTTTGACAGCTTCGTAAAGTTTGCTCTGAAGGATCTAATTGTCCTACCTTCCTAATTGTCAAAGTTAATTGTTATAACATTTGATGCAGGATATATCCCACTCTATTGTCATATCTGAGGTCTGTTTGGTGATTAAATAGATTTCTTTTGCCTTTTGTCACAGACTTTCTCTGTTATAACAATGTGATATTTCAATAAATAATGCATAAATGTGATAACGCGCATTTAGTAATGACGGGTACGTCGTGAAAGTGATCTTGTGGACCGGACTTCAGGTAATTTATCAGTACTTACTTTTTGAGAACAAACTATTTGCCTCTTGAAATCAAACAGACTGTTACTGATAATGTCAGAGTTAATGCTGGCTTAAATGTATTGAATTGGAATATAAGTACTTAAATAAAAGCTGTTTTGAAACATTTTTCTCACTGATTTCCGTGATTGGATAAAAGAAACTCATACATCACCTTTCATGACACACAAAGATGCTTACTCTTCAGACACAAATAACTAAATCATGAAAACATTTTTGTCCAGGTTGTGATGAGCACTGTTGAAAAGACAGCTGTGTCATAGGCAGACGTCCAGGCCGCTGCTGTTACTGCTGCATAAATGTCATCAGAACGTGTGAGATGTGTTCTAACTATCCATGACTTGTAATGGATAAAGAAATGAAAATATTGGTCCTTGTTTGTTGTAATCCACAGAAACTGGAGGTGATGGAGATGGATGAAGAAATGGCCTCTGGAAGACAGATGTCTCTGGAAAAGAAATTCACACAAAAATCATGAATTAAAACAGACCCCGTTCTCCTGAGACTACAGATGAAAATTAGCCTTTTGCTACAATCAGACGTGTCAACATAAATGTTCATCCATATGTTCATTGACATGTACTGTCCCATTAAAATAAATAAATACGAATACACAGTAGTAGAGTAGAAATAGCCTGAAGGCTGGCGCTCTGAGGAGCAGAAGTAGAATGCCTTTTACAAACATTCACGTGCTCACAAATCAATCATTTCACTTTAAAAAAAATATATTTTTATAACTTTTTTATAGTTACAACAACACCAACACTACACACTGGCCAAAGAAACATTGATATTTGACAAACCAAGGTTCAAAGACGTTTAAAGTAGATTAAGTCCAAAGTGAGTGTCCGTCTATTTGACTCTCATTAACAATTGCTTCCAGTGGCTTCTTCCGATTGTCAAGCTGAAAAGTACCATCGAAATAATCTCTAAGTTTAATCATTGTCATAAGATCTACAATCAGTGACTTCCACAGAGAAATAGACGGAGGATCATCACCTACCCACTTTAACATAATACGCTTCCTGGCTATCATTAGTAATGGCTGAATCACATCACACGGAAAAAGGTGCCTTGCCCTCTTCAGGTGGGTGGAGAGGTCCTTCCTCAAGTGGAGGAGTTCAAGTATCTCGGGGTCTTGTTCACAAGTGAGGGAAGGATGGAGCGTGAGATTGACAGGCGGATCGGTGCAGCGTGCGCAGTGATGCGGTCGCTGTATCGGACCGTTGTGGTAAAGAGGGAGCTGAGCCGAAAGGCGAAGCTCTCGATTTACCGGTCAATCTTCGTTCCCTCCCTCACCTATGGTCATGAGCTGTGGGTAATGACCGAAAGAACGAGATCGCGGATACAAGCGGTCGAAATGAGCTTCCTCCGTAGAGTGGCTGGCCGCTCCCTTAGAGATAGGGTGAGGAGCTCGGTCACACGGGAGGAGCTCGGAGTAGAGCCGCTGCTTCTCCACGTCGAGAGGAACCAGTTGAGGTGGCTCGGGCATCTGTTCAGGATGCCTCCTGGACGCCTCCCTGGGGAGGTGTTCCGGGCACGTCCCACCGGGAGGAGGCCCCGGGGAAGACCCAGGACACGCTGGAGGGACTATGTCTCTCAGCTGGCCTGGGAACGCCTTGGGGTCCCCCCGGACGAGCAGGAGGAAGTGTGTGTGGATAGGGAAGTCTGGGCGTCTCTGCTTAGACTGCTGCCCCCGCAACCCGGCAACGGATAAAGCGGAAGAAAATGGATGGATGGATGGATGAATCACATGTTCGTTTTGTTTCACTGATACAGGGATGCTACCAAGTAAACACATCATTGAATTTTCGATAACCTGCTGACCTATGGCTTTACTGATATTGGCACAAACCCCATTCCAAAATGTTTGAATGTAAACACATTCCCATAAGCAATGGTACCTCGTGCCAATATGACCTTTACACTTTGCAATTTGGTGAGGAAGCTACATTGTATTTGCAGTAAATATTAGGAGAAATATATGCATTGTGTAAAATATTGTACTGTAATTCTGTAAATTGATTACAAATTGAAATTTTTGATGGTAAAGTGATTATTTTATCCCATACCTTTGCATCTATTTCACACTCCAAGATTTTCTTAACCCTGCCAATTTGTCCAGACTAAGAGAGTATATTTCCGGATAAAACTTTGATATAAAATTATTGTGATCTTTATTTTTAAGAAGGACAATCTCCAATTGATGTGAGCCTGGGTTAAATTTTAGAGATTTTGCCTTCTGCTTGTTTGGTATATTATACTGAGATATTACATTTTCAAAATATTTGAATTCTCCTTGAGTGAAAAGATCAAAAAATCTGTTGATCCCAGCCTTGCACCATTTCGCAAAACTTGTTCCCTTAATTTCAGAAAAAAGATCTGGGTTGTTGTTTGAATGTGGACAGAATATAAAATGATTGGCTAGCTACTTTTGAAAAGTTTTCTAAATCTATCCCAAGCCGATAAAACATTATACAGCAGAGGGTTATTTTAACTGTATTCGAAAGTCCACTCTTCTTTACCCCTAATAAGTTGACAGGTGATGAAGGTTTACATAAAACAGCTTCAATGTTAAACTACGGTGAATCTGAATTGTCATGTTTCCAGGCAGGTAGGATCCGAGCTTGACTGGAAAGGACGTATTGATCTATATTAGGCAGGCTCCATCCACCCAGTTCTTTAGGTAGTTTAATTTTTTTTTCTCCCTGACCAGATAAAGTCCACTATGGATTCGTTCATAGTTTTAACTAGGGATGTACCGAATCTAGGATTTGGTTTCGGCCGAATATTGGCTTTTTTGTGGTTCGGTTTCTGGCCGAACCTTAGAATTTTTCCCCACCGAACCCGAACCCTGCACTTACACTATGCGCGCTGTGGCTGTTGGATTCGTCACGAAAACCAGATTCGTTCGCAAGTGTAAATAAACATGCACTTTAGGGGAGGTTTATATCCTCTTGCTCTGTGTTGCTCTTTGGGTGTTGCGCGCGGAGGGCTCTTCCTGGTCATGTGATCGCCGCAGTCCAATTCGGGCGTTCTGCTCTCCCAAAATTCCATCCACTGAGCGGCGCTGTGATCAAAAAATGACACCGTTTGTTGCCCAGTTCACTTCCGGTTGATTTCATACAATGGCGAATATGGCTCACGAAAACAACAAGCGATTGACAGTGCCTGAATTGCGTGAAAGGTTGAAGCGAAAGGGTATTTGCAGTGTGGGAAAACGAAAGGAGGAATTGTTGTTGCTAGTTCAACGAGCGGATGGTGTTTATGAAGATTTAGAAGAAGATGACAGCGAGCAGAGTGAACGAAAACGGCTGTGTGTGCGAGTGACAGATGGTAACAATGAGAATGAAGTTCAGCTAAGAGGGAAGAATGTGAATTGGACGGATGATTTGCGCGATATGCCACTAGTTAGAGACGGGAATGTATTTGCATACAGAAAATGACGAAAACACTCAACCATTTAGAGAAAATGCGCCGGGCAGAGAGAACCGGAAGTTGCGAAGGCAAGTGTTACCCATAATGCAACGCAAAATTCAGTCGCTCCCCCGCCCATCGGATGGAATTTTGGGAGAGCAGAACGCCCGAATTAGCTCTAGTTTTATGCCGGTGCGAGGGGAGTTCTCGCACCTCCCTTTTCTCGCTCCTCTCTTTTCTCGCTCCTCTCTCTTCTCGCTCCTCTCTTTTCTCGCACCTCTCTCTGCTCGCTCATCTCTCTTCTCGCTCCTTTCGCTCCTCTTTCTTCTCGCACCTCTCTCCTCTCGCTCCTCTCTCTTTTCTCACACCTCTCTTTTCTCGCGCCTCTCTTTACTCGCGCCTCTCTTTACTCGCTCCTCTCGCTCCTCTCTTTTCTCACCCTCTCGCTCCTCTCTTTTCTCGCTCCTCTCTCTCTTCTCGTCCCTCTCACCCTCTCTTTTCTCGCCCTCTCTTTTCTTGCTCCTCTCTTTTCTCTCTCCTCTCTCTCCTCTCTTTTCTCGCACCTCCCTTTCCTCGCTCCTCCCTTTTCTCGCTCATCTCGCTCCTCCCTTTTCTCGCTCCTCCCTTTTCTCGCTCCTCTCTTTTCTCGCTCCTATCTTTTCTCGCTCCTATCTTTTCTCGCTCCTCCCTTTTCTCGCTCGTCCCTCCTCTCTCTCCTCTCTTTTCTCGCACCTCTCTTTTCTCGCTCCTCTCTTTTCTCGCTCCTCTTTTCTCGCTCCTCTCTTTTCTCTCTCCTCTCTTTTCTCGCTCCTCTCCCTCCTCTTTCTCCTCTCTTTTCTCTCTCCTCTCTTTTCTCGCTCCTCTCCCTCCTCTTTCTCCTCTCTTTTCTCGCTCCTCTCTTTTCTCGCACCTCTTTTCTCGCACCTCCCTTTTCTCGCTCCTCTCGCACTTCCCTTTTCTTGCTCCTCTCTTTTCTCGCGCCTCTCACTCCTCTCGCTCCTCTCTTTTCTCGCTCCTCCTTTTTCTCGCTCCTCTCGCCACTCTCTTTTCTCGCTCCTTTCTACGCTCTTTTCTCGCTCCTCTCTTTTCTCGCTCCTCTCTTTTCTCGTTTCTCGCTCCTCTCGCTTCTCTCTTTTCTCGCTCCTCTTCCTCCTCTCTCTTCACGACCCTCTCTCTTCTCGCTCCTCTCTTTTCTCGCACCTCTCTCTTCTCGCTCCTCCCTTTTCTCTCTCCTCTCTTTTCTCGCTCCTCTCTCTTCTCGCTTCTCTCTCTTCTCGCTCCTTTCGCTCCTCTCTCTTCTCGACCCTCTCTCTTATCGCTCCTCTCTTTTCTGGCACCTCTCTCTTCTCGCTCATCTCTCTTCTCGCTCATCTCTCTTCTCGCTCCTCTCGCACCTCTCCCTTCTCGCCCTTCTCTCTTCTCGCTCCTCTCTCTTCTCGCTCCTTTCGCTCCTCTTTCTTCTCGCTCCTCTCGCTCATCTCTTCTCGCTCCTCTCTCTTCTCGCTCCTCACACTTCTCGCTCCTCTCGCTCTCTTCTCGCTCCTCTCTCTCTCCTCTTTTTTCTCGCTCCTCTCTTTTCTCGCTACTCTCTCTTCTCGCTCCTCTCTCTTCTCGCTCCTCTCTCTCCTCGCTCTTCTCGCACCTCTCTCTTCTCGCCCTTCTCTCTTCTCGCTCCTCTCTTTTCTCGCTCCTCTCTCTTCTCGCTCCTCTCTTCTCACTCCTCTCTCTTCTCGCTCATCTCTTCTCGCTCCTCTCTCTTCTCGCTCCTCTCTCTTCTCGCTCCTCTCGCTCCTTTCGCTCCTCTTTCTTCTCGCTCCTCTTTCTTCTCGCTCCTCTCTCTCCTCTCTTCTCGCTCCTCTCTCTCCTCTCTTTCTCGCTCCTCTCTCTTCTCGCTCCTCTCTCTTCTCGCTCCTCTCTTTTCTTGCACCTCTCTCTTCTCGCTCCTCTCTCTCCTCTCTTCTCGCACCTCTCTCTTCTCGCTCTTCTCTCTTCTCGCTCCTCTCTCTCCTCTCGTTTCTCGCTCCTCTCTCTTCTCGCTCCTCTCTCTTCTCGCTCCTCTCTCGCCTCGCTCCTCTCTCGTCTCGCTCCTCTCTCGCCTCGCTCCTCTCGCACCTCTCTCTTCTCGCACCTCTCTCTTCTCGCCCTTCTCTCTTCTCGCTCCTCTCTTTTCTTGCCCTTCTCTCTTCTCGCTCCTCTCTCTTCTCACTCCTCTCTCTTCTCGCTCCTCTCTCTTCTCGCTCCTCTCTCTTCTTGCTCCTCTCTCTTCTCACTCCTCTCTCTTCTCGCTCCTCTCTCTTCTCGCTCCTCTCTCTTCTCGCTCTTCTCTCTTCTCGCTCCTCTCTCTTCTCACTCCTCTCTCTTCTCGCTCCTCTCTCTTCTCGCTCCTCTCTTTTCTCACCCCTCTCTCTTCTCGCTCCTCTCGCTCCTTTCGCTCCTCTTTCTTCTCGCTCCTCTCTCTCCTCTCTTCTCGCTCCTCTCTCTCCTCTCCTTCTCGCTCCTCTCTCTTCTCACTCCTCTCTCTTCTCGCTCCTCTCTTTTCTCGCTCCTCTCTCTTCTTGCTCCTCTCGCTCCTCTCGCTCCTTTCGCTCCTCTCTCTCCTCTCTCTTCTCGCTCCTCTCTCTTCTCGCTCCTCTCTTTTCTTGCACCTCTCTCTTCTCGCTCCTCTCTCTCCTCTCTTCTTGCTCCTCTCTCTCCTCTCTTCTCGCTCCTCTCTCTTCTCGCTCTTCTCTCTTCTTGCTCCTCTCTCTCCTCTCGTTTCTCTCTCTTCTCGCTCCTCTCTCTTCTCACTCCTCTCTCTTCTCGCTCCTCTCTCTTCTCGCTCCTCTCTTTTCTCACCCCTCTCTCTTCTCGCTCCTCTCGCTCCTTTCGCTCCTCTTTCTTCTCGCTCCTCTCTCTCCTCTCTTCTCGCTCCTCTCTCTCCTCTCCTTCTCGCTCCTCTCTCTTCTCACTCCTCTCTCTTCTCGCTCCTCTCTTTTCTCGCTCCTCTCTCTTCTTGCTCCTCTCGCTCCTCTCGCTCCTTTCGCTCCTCTCTCTCCTCTCTCTCCTCTCTCTTCTCGCTCCTCTCTCTTCTCGCTCCTCTCTTTTCTTGCACCTCTCTCTTCTCGCTCCTCTCTCTCCTCTCTTCTTGCTCCTCTCTCTACTCTCTTCTCGCTCCTCTCTCTTCTCGCTCTTCTCTCTTCTCGCTCCTCTCTCTCCTCTCGTTTCTCGCTCCTCTCTCTTCTCGCTCCTCTCTCGCCTCGCTCCTCTCTCGCCTCGCTCCTCTCTCGCCTCGCTCCTCTCTCGCCTCGCTCCTCTCGCACCTCTCTCTTCTCGCACCTCTCTCTTCTCGCCCTTCTCTCTTCTCGCTCCTCTCTTTTCTCGCCCTTCTCTCTTCTCGCTCCTCTCTCTTCTCACTCCTCTCTCTTCTCGCTCCTCTCTCTTCTCGCTCCTCTCTCTTCTTGCTCCTCTCTCTTCTCACTCCTCTCTCTTCTCGCTCCTCTCTCTTCTCGCTCCTCTCTCTTCTCGCCCTTCTCTCTTCTCGCTCCTCTCTCTTCTCACTCCTCTCTCTTCTCGCTCCTCTCTCTTCTCGCTCCTCTCTCTTCTCGCTCCTCTCTCTTCTCGCTCCTCTCGCTCCTTTCGCTCCTCTTTCTTCTTGCTCCTCTCGCTCATCTCTTCTCGCTCCTCTCTCTCTCGCTCCTCGCTCCTTCGCTCTCTTTCGCTCCTCTTCTCGCTCCTCTCTCTCTCTCTCTGCTCCTCTCTCTCTCTCTCTCGCTCCTCTCTCTCCTCTCTCTCTTCTCGCTCCTCTCTCTCTCTCTCTCTCTCGCTCCTCTCTCTCTCGCTCTCTCTCTCTCTCTCTCCTCCTCTCTCTCCTCTCTTCTCTCTCTTCTCGCTCCTCTCTCTCTCTCTCTCCTCTCTCTCTCGCTCCTCTCTCTCTCTCTCTCCTCTCTTCTTCTCCCCCTCTCTCTCTCTCTCCTCTCGCTCGCTCCTCTTCTCTCCTCTCTCCTCTCTCTCGCTCTCTCTCTCTCTCTCTCTCTCTCTTCTCTCTCTCTCTCTCTCCTCTCTTCTCGCTCCTCTCTCTTCTCCTCTCTCTCTTCTCGCTCCTCTCTTCTCTGCTCCTCTCTCTCTCTTGCTCCTCTCGCTCCTCTCGCTCCTTTCGCTCCTCTCTCTCTCTCTCTCTCTCTCGCTCCTCTCTCTTCTCGCTCCTCTCTTTTCTTGCACCTCTCTCTTCTCGCTCCTCTCTCTCTCTCTCTTCTTGCTCCTCTCTCTCCTCTCTTCTCGCTCCTCTCTCTTCTCGCTCTTCTCTCTTCTCGCTCCTCTCTCTCCTCTCGTTTCTCGCTCCTCTCTCTTCTCGCTCCTCTCTCTTCTCTCGCTCCTCTCTCGCCTCGCTCCTCTCTCGCCTCGCTCCTCTCTCGCCTCGCTCCTCTCGCACCTCTCTCTTCTCGCACCTCTCTCTTCTCGCCCTTCTCTCTTCTCGCTCCTCTCTTTTCTCTCGCCTTCTCTCTTCTCGCTCCTCTCTCTTCTCACTCCTCTCTCTTCCGCTCCTCTCTCTTCTCGCTCCTCTCTCTTCTTGCTCCTCTCTCTTCTCACTCCTCTCTCTTCTCGCTCCTCTCTCTTCTCGCTCCTCTCTCTTCTCGCTCTTCTCTCTTCTCGCTCCTCTCTCTTCTCTCTCCTCTCTCTCTTCTCGCTCCTCTCTCTTCTCGCTCCTCTCTCTTCTCGCTCCTCTCTCTTCTCGCTCCTCTCTCTTCTCGCTCCTCTCGCTCCTTTCGCTCCTCTTTCTTCTCGCTCCTCTCGCTCATCTCTTCTCGCTCCTCTCTCTTCTCGCTCCTCTTTCTTCTCGCTCCTCTTTCTTCTCGCTCCTCTCTTCTCGCTCCTCTCTCTCCTCTCCTTCTCGCTCCTCTCTCTTCTCGCTCCTCTCTCTTCTCGCTCCTCTCTCTTCTCGCTCCTCTCGCTCCTTTCGCTCCTCTTTCTTCTCGCTCCTCTCGCTCATCTCTTCTCGCTCCTCTCTCTTCTCGCTCCTCTCGCGCCTTTCGCTCCTCTTTCTTCTCGCTCCTCTCTCTCCTCTCTTCTCGCTCCTCTCTCTCCTCTCCTTCTCGCTCCTCTCTCTTCTCACTCCTCTCTCTTCTCGCTCCTCTCTTTTCTCGCTCCTCTCGCTCCTCTCGCTCTCTCGCTCCTCTTCTTCTCTCTCCTCTCTCTCCTCTCTTCTCGTTCCTCTCTCTCCTCTCTTTCTCGCTCCTCTCTCTTCTCGCTCTTCTAGCTCCTCTCTCTTCTCGCTCTTCTCTCTTCTCGCTCCTCTCTCTCCTCTTGTTTCTCGCTCCTCTCTCTTCTCGCTCCTCTCTCCGCTCACCTCTCGCTCCTCTCTCTTTTCTCGCTCCCTCTTTTCTCGCGCCTCTCTTTACTCGCTCCTCTCGCCCGTCTCGCACCTCTCTTTTCTCGCCCCTCTTGCTCCTCTCTACCTTCCTCTCGCTCCTCTCTTTTCTCGCTCCTCCCTTTTCTCGCTCCTCTCGCTCCACTCTCTTTTCTCGCTCCTCTCTCTTTTCTCGCTCCTCTCTTTTCTTGCTCCTCTCTTTTCTTGCACCTCTCTTTTCTCGCTCCTCCCTTTTCTCGCTCCTCTTTTTTCTCACTCCTCCCTTTTCTCGCTCCTCTCTTTTCTCGCTCCACTCTCTTTTCTCGCTCCTCTCTCTTTTCTCGCTCCTCTCTTTTCTCGCTCCTCTCTTTTCTCGCTCCTCTCGCTCCTCTCTTTTCTCTCTCCTCTCTTTTCTCTATCCTCTCGCTCCTCCCTTTTCTCGCTCCTCTCTCTTTTCTCGCTCCCTCTTTTCTCGCGCCTCTCTTTACTCGCTCCTCTCGCCCTTCTCGCACCTCTCTCTTCTCGCCCTTCTCGCTCCTCTCTCTCCTCTTTTCTCGCTCCTCTCTCTTCTCCTCTCTCTTCTCGTCCTTCTCACTTCTCACTCCTCTCTCTCCTCTCTCTCCCTCTCTTTTCTCGCTCCCCTTTTCTCGCCCCTCTCTCTTCTCGCTCCTCGCTCCGCTCGCTCTCTCTCGCTCCTCTCTCTTCTCGCCCTTCTCTCTTCTCGCTCCTCTCTCTCCTCTCGTTTCTCGCTCCTCCCTCTTCTCGCTCCTCTCTCTTTTCTCGCTCCCTCTTTTCTCGCGCCTCTCTTTACTCGCTCCTCTCGCCCGTCTCGCACCTCTCTTTTCTCGCCCCTCTCGCTCCTCTCTACCTTCCTCTCGCTCCTAGCTTTTCTCGCTCCTCTCTTTTCTTGCTCCTCTCTTTTCTCGCTCCTCTCTTTTCTCGCTCCTCCCCTTTTCTCGCTCCTCTCTTTTCTTGCTCCTCTTGCTCCACTCTCTGGCACGTGGGGTGGTCTTGATCGCAGAGATCCCCAGCAGGCGGTGGAAGAGCTGCATCCGTCGGGAGGTGACGTTGGTCCCCTGGTCGGTCACGATCTTGTCTGGGACACCAACCCTGGAAAAAAACTGCACAAGACACCGCAGCACAGCAGGGGCAGTAACGGTGCGCAAGGGGAAAGCCTCGGGGGACCATGTGGCATAATCGCAGAGGACCAGGATATACTGATGGCCTTCACTACGCATAGCAATGTTCATTGCTATGCGGCAGAATGTGGTGGAAATGACAGGCATAGGTTGGAGGTACGCACTGTCGTATTTATTTTATTTATTTATTTTATTTGAGCAACATACAATACATTTATACAACAACAACAAAATATATTACTGACATATTTGCTGCTCAAAAGGAGTAGGTTGAAGTTCAAAGAACATATGAGCACCTACCCCACATACAATATGTGCAATTTGTAATAATAGCAGATTAATGATACATATACAAGCACATCCACACACATACATATACAAGCACATACGCACACAGATACCTACATATGCACGCACACATGTATAATATACAAATACACAATACAACACATAGAGCATTATATAATTTCAATTTGGAGAGACGTGAAACAAGAAGCTTTTGAGTATTTTATTGGGAGGAGGTTTGGCGCCCTAGGCCCCGGTGCGGCCTTCAGATCGGAGGGACTCTGCGATGGAGCGTGCCAATCCCCCGGGACCTAGGCACTGGTGGCGGCATTTGGCAGCGGGAAGCAGATTGAAGGCGGATTGAAGGCAGGGTGAAGAGGAGGAGGAGGGGAGGCGGTGGTTGCAGGCTTCGAGAAGGCAGAGAGTGGGAGTTTCTCCGCTTTTAAGCGGCTTGCCTGGCCGGTGCGGTGATTGGAAGGGGCGTTTGCAGCGCGATAGGCTGGGGATGAGAACCGGCCTGGAGGGGTTACCTTTGGCTGACGTCTACCAAATTGAACTTTCGCTGGCTGCATTTCAATTTGGAGAGACGTGAAACAAGAAGCTTTTGAGTATTTTATTGGGAGGAGGTTTGGCGCCCTAGGCCCCGGTGCGGCCTTCAGATCGGAGGGGCTCTGCGATGGAGCGTGCCAATCCCCAAAAAGGTTGTGAGTTGATGGAGTTTTGCAGCCTGGTTTGGAGGGGACAGAACGTCGAGACTACTCTATGCTGTGACCGCTATCGCTATATACTGTGACCGCTATCGCTATATACTGTGACCGCTATCGCTATATACTGTGACCGCTAACGCTATATACTGTGACCGCTATCGCTATATACTGTGACCGCTATCGCTATATACTGTGACCGCTATCGCTATATGCTGACGACCATCATGCGCTAACCATTTTTTGCTATATACTGTGACCGCTATCGCTATATACTGTGACCGCTATCGCTATATACTGTGACCGCTATCGCTATATACTGTGACCGCTATCGCTATATACTGTGACCGCTATCACTATATACTGTGACCGCTATTTGCTGTGACCAAACTTGCGGATACTCAGCTGCAGCCGCCACCAGGAGTTTAGCGAGTGTTTTATGGAGATGCCAAAAGCCGCTGGGCTGCCAGGATGGTCGAGGTGTCAGGCCTGATGTATGAGGAGAGGGCCGATGATGACCAGCGGCCCAGCTGCTGGAGGGCGGAATGGGGGAGCCCCAGTGACGCGGCGCCTATCCGGAAGGAGTGGGCTGTGTAGAGATGGGGAGACAGTTTACAAAGCAGCAGTACGGACTTGAGTTGGGCTCTGAACCAGTTGGGGGACATAGGGAGGTTTTCAGGGGTAAGAAATAACGGTCCGTTGAGATCTCCTTTCCGAGAGCGGAGGCGAGTGTAATGCATCATGGATCGTGACAGCAGAGGGCGGAATGAGTGGAATGCAGTGGGCGTGACAGAAGCTGGAGTAGACTTTCCACGCGAAACTGTATGATTTCAGTGTGGAAGGTGAGAGACCCATCTTCATGTAGGATGCAGCGGAGGAGATGAGGAGGTGAAGAGACGGAGGGACTAGTCCAGGGCGAGGGATTCCATGCAGGGGATCTGGCATGGTGATGGGTTGGCAGAAGGGCAGAGGCGTCGGAACTCCTGGAAGTCGAGATTATCACGCATGACGGAGATCCTCTTTCTCTGCCAGGTGTGATTCCGCCGCGCGCAGGCCACGACCACTGGGAATATCTCGTGTAGGGCAGAGGAGATGCTCCGGTGGAAAGTAGCGGCCACGGCCCGGCAACCCAATGGTCCTGGAAAAAAACCCCAAAACCCACGGAAGGGGCACGTCCGTGTAGAAGCGGAGACCTGTAGGGGCAGAGACTTATCGGAGAGGGCCATTGAAGTTGCAGGCGCCCTTACGCTTAGAATCTTGGGTTGGAGAGTAGATAATCAGGATAGTAGGATGGTCGGGAAAAGCCGTGTCTCGGACCGCCTGAAGGTTGAGTGAGCAGTAGTGAAACGCTTATGCAGAGAAGCCATAGAAGGAGAGCAGGAAGATGCTGCGAGGAGGGCAGACACGTACTTGGAAGATGAGCCGGAGTTCAGTGCCGCTGCAGGATGGGCAGCATGATGGGGAGCCTGCGATCAGAAGAGTGAAGAATACAGGTGTGGATGCCTTTGATTAGGAGTCCGATTGACAGCTCAGCGCAGCTACTCGGCCAGCTGCATCTGATAGAATCAGAAGATTAAGTAGAGAGATGAAGCATGACCGCCGAAGCGACCCTGGGAGCATAGGTGCGAGTCCAGCGCAGCGCGGCATGCTCGGCCGGGCAGCATCCATTAGAAGCAGGATAAGCTTCTGAGAGAGTGGGTTGCAGCAGTAGCAGTAGCAGTAGCAGCAGCGGCAGCAGCAGTAACCTCGGATAATAACGCAACAATCCTGTATCAAGCCGCGGCAGCAGCAGCATCCGTAGATAACAACGGCAAAAATCCTGTATCGAAGCCACAGCAGTAGGATATGTTGAAGCTGTTTAGTGTTTCAGTAAGAGAAGCGAAGTGAGGAGAGATGACAAAGTACATGAAGCAGCAGCAGCACGGCAGCAGTAGCAGTAGGAAGCAGCAGCAGCAGCAGTAGCAGCAGTAGCGGTAGCAGTACAAGAAGCAGCATTAGCGGGAGCAGCAGCACCACGATGCGATTCATACGAACAAACAGACGTGTCACGCCAGCGTGCGCCGCTTGACTCCGTGAGCCAGGTTACGTACGCGTCTGAAGGAGCCGAGCCGTAGAGACAGGTGCAGCCTGGGAGCCTGCGGAGCGGCAGCGGCTGCTTTGGTTATGGCAGATACTCATGAACGATCACTGATCCATGCGTTCATAGCTCCAACACCACTTCACACCCATTGCAGATTCACATTGGGCCCTTTTTCATTCTGCTGCACTTTCAAAATGCAACAACTGCAGTTAGTTACCTAATTTAATACCAGCGAGCTAGCTATTTAAATGCATGGTTTTACTGCAAGTGGCAGAACATGAATCTGAATTAATGCACTTTGCTCCTCTTATATCCCTCAGACGATAGAGATTGATGCCATTTAATATGCATTGCCCCTCGGTTAGCTCAAACACATGTGAAACGGAGCCTGCAGACCAAGCACGGGGCGAAAAAATTGACGCCTGCAGTCAAGTGCGCGGGGCAAAAACCAATCGCCTGCAGCCCAAAACTCCGGGATTAATCTGTCCGCGGTCAGCACACTCACTGTACTCACATGCCAGGAGACTTGGGAAAAGCAACGGGACAACGCGGCACCGCCAATCGAGGCAGGGACACGCACGGCACCGCCAGACCTTCTGCGTGCGGCAGCAGACCACGAGGAACGAGCAGCACAGAACCCGCGGAGGGCCCCGCGGAGCAGCCCGCAGAAAGAGCCCGCAGAGGAGGAGAGCAGTGGAGATACGCGAACCACAGCAGGTGCAGGGACGCGGAGGAGGAGCAGACCAGTGCAGGGACGCGGAGGAGGAGCAGACCACAAGCAGCCAGACGGAGGACGCCAGGGTCGCACCGAGTAGCGTGAGTAGACGAAAACGATTCCTCCAGACGATTCTCTGCAAGGCTTCGAGGGCTTGCGAGGCTTCGAGAAGTGCAGGCTTCGAGAAGGCAGAGAGTGGGAGTTTCTCCGCTTTTAAGCGGCTTGCCTGGCCGGTGCGGTGATTGGAAGGGGCGTTTGCAGCGCGATAGGCTGGGGATGAGAACCGGCCTGGAGGGGTTACCTTTGGCTGACGTCTACCAAATTGAACTTTCGCTGGCTGCATGTGTCAATAAAACCGTTATGATAGTATTTGTAAAAGTTGTTAATGTGTTGTTAATGGACAAACCACACACACCAGAATATGAAGTTGAATCTTAACATTGTTCATACATCTGTAATGCAATAAGTTTATAGTGTTTCTTGAATGTAATGAGGCTTGTTGTGCCTTTTAATTATCTAGATTATTCCAGAGCTTCACGCCACTCCTTGTGATGCAGTGACTCTTAAGGGTGGTACGACTGGACTGTACTTTTAGATTAAAGGCCCCACGTAGATTGTATCCCACCTCTCAATCAGCAAACATGTTTTGAGATCTGCTCTGAGAGTTTGTTATGTTTTGCCTTATGGACGATCATCAGAGTTCTTAACGTTATTAGATCCTTCAGTTTTAGGAGACAAGATCTTAAGAATAAAGGATCTGTGTGTTCCCTATGTCCAACATTGTGAACGATCCTAATCGCTTTTTTTTTGGAGTCTGAACAACAGTTCCAGATGACCACTGTAGGTGTTTCCCAAACCTCATTAGAGTAGGTGAGATAAGGGAGGACCAGCGAGCAGTAGAGAATAAAGAGAGTTCTTTGGTTAAGTAAATATCTGCATCTACTCATGACTGCAATATTTTTAGCTAATTTTACACGGATGTTAGATATTTGTGGTTTCCAGCTCATATTGGGCCTCATGTATGAAACTTGAGTACGGCCAAATCAGGGTGTAAATGATGCGTACGCAAAAAATTTACACTTTTCCGCATTTATCAATCTGGACGTGAGCGTATGGTACGCACAGAATATACACCAAGTCAATAGGTGGTGTAAATGTGTACGCTCATTTCACCCTTCGTCACAACACGCCAAAGCACGCATGAAATTCAAGATTTGGACAACAATAAACATTTCACCTTGGAGAGACCCACGAGGGAAAATGCAGTCAGAAGTTTAAGATTAAGCATGTTTGGCGCCCTAGGCCCAGGAGAGATGCTGTTGAGCGCGGTGCTTGCTCGCGCGCATAATCCCCCCCGGGGCCTAGGCACTGGTGGCGGCAGAGGCAGTAGGGAAGCACGCTTCGATGAGAAAAGGAGGAGGTGGGGCGGCGGAGGCTTGCAGACTTCAGAAGGCCGGGAAGTGGGCGTCTCCGGCTTTTAACTTGCTGTCCTGGTGGTTATTGGTTGATTAGATGTGGGCGTTGCTGGTATGATGAGTCGAGGATGAGCAGGCTTGTAGATCTGGGCAAGCAGCAGCCGGGTCTACCACAGTGAACTTTCGCGAAAGCTCCATTTCACCTTGGAGAGACCCACGAGGGAAAATGCAGTTCGAAGTTTAAGATTAAGCATGTTTGGCGCCCTAGGCCCGGGAGAGATGCTGTTGAGCGCGGCGCTTGCTCGCGCGCATAATCCCCCAAAAAGCGGGCCTGCGATGGGATAGCAGGACGCACTGCGCAGGCCTGAGAGCATGCGTGCGAGGCTTCTCGCACGGTCGCTCAGCCAGGCTGCGTCCGCTGGGCATCTTTGAGCGCTGAGAACGTGAGCGCTCGCATCACGTTCAGCCAGACGCTGTAGCAGGGTTATCTTTGAGCGCTGAGAACGTGAGCGCTCGCATCACGTTCAGCCAGACGCTGTAGCAGGGTTATCTTTGAGCGCTGAGAACGTGAGCGCTCGCATCACGTTCAGCCAGACGCTGTAGCAGGGTTATCTTGAGGGTTTGAGAAAAGTGCGTGCCGCCACCAGAATCTTATTGCTTTACTTACTTTGCTTGCTGGGAGCTTACGAGGAAGCCAGTAGACGTTGTGCTGCCAGGATCGCAGACGCAGCTGGCCTGATGTAGGTGGAGAAGCCGAAGATGACCAGCGCCCCCAGCCGTTGCAGAGAAGAGTGGCGGAGCCCCAGCGAGGTCGCGCGCGTGGTAGCGCCTATCCTGAAGGAGTGGGCTGTATAGAGCTGGGGAGACAAATTGCAGAGGAGCAGTAGGGATCTTAGCTGAGCTCTGAACCAGGTTGCTGTCATGGGAAGGTTGTCTGGAGTGAGAAATAGAGGTCCGTTAAAATCTCCTTTTTGCGGCGGAGGCGAGTAACGCATCATGGACCTGTAGGGGCAGAGAGATGTGTCGGAGCGAGCTATTATTATGTTGCAGGCGCCTTTGATCTTTGAATGTTTGAGATGAAGGTTGAAATGGTCAGGGGACATTATGTTGGGTGAAGAAGAGCGACCTTTGTTTAATGCTTCCACTGCGTTGAGATTATCACACATGACAGAGATCCTCTTTCTCTGCCACGTGTGATTCCACAGCGCGCAGGCCACGACCACTGGGAATGTCTCATGTAGGGCAGAGGAAATGCTCCGGGGAAAAGTAGCAGGCCATGGCCCGGCGAACCACTGGTCCTGGAAGAACCCCCCAAAACCCACGGAAGGGGCAGCGTCCGTGTAGAAGCGGAGACCTGTAGGGGCAGAGAGACATATCGGAGAGGGCCATTGATGTTGCAGGCGCCCTTACGCTTAGAATCTTGGGTTGGAGATTAGATAATCAAGCAGAGAAGCCATAGAAGGAGAGCAGGAAGATGCTGCGAGGAGGGCAGACATGTACTTGGAAGATGAGCCGGAGTTCAGTGCCGCTCAGAGCTGCTGCAGGATGGGCAGCATGATGGGGAGCCTGCGATCAGAAGAGTGAAGAATACAGGTATGGATGCCTTTGATTAGGAGTCCGATTGACAGCTCAGCGCAGCTACTCGGCCAGCTGCATCTGATAGAATCAGAAGATTAAGTCGAGAGATGAAGCATGACCGCCGAAGCGACCCTGGGAGCATAGGTGCGAGTCCAGCGCAGCGCGGCATACTCAGCCGGGCTGCATCCATTAGAAGCAGGATAAGCTTCTGAGAGAGTGGGTTGCAGCAGTAGCAGTAGCAGCAGCGGCAGCAGCAGTACCCTTAGATAATAACAGCAATAATCCTGTATCAAGCCACGGCAGCAGCAGTAGCAGCAGCAGCAGTAGCAGCAGTAGCAGCAGTAGCAGTATCCTGAGATAATAACAGTAATAATCCTGTATCAAAGCCACAGCAGTAGAATATTGTTGTAGCTGTTTAGTGTTTCAGTAAAAAGAGATGTAAAGTGAAGAGAGATGTCAAAGTAAATGAAGCAGCAGCAGCAGCAGTAGCAGTATGAAGCAGCAGTAGCAGTATGAAGCAGCAGCAGCAGCAGCAGCACCACAATGCGATTCATACGAACAAACAGACGTGTCACGCCAGCATGCGCCGCTTGTCTCCGTGAGCCAGGTTACATACGTGTCTGAAAGAGCCGAGCCGTAGAGACAGGTGCAGCCTGGGAGCCCGCGGAGCGGCAGCGGCAGGAACAGCAGCAGCGGCACGTGTAGTTGTAGGAGCAGCAGGAGCAGGCAGCAGGGACAGGCAGCAGCAGGAACAGGCAGCAGCAGGAGCGGCAGCAGGAGCGGCAGCAGCGGGAACAGGCATCAGCAGGAGCGGCAGGAACGGGGAGCAGGCATCAGTAGGAGCAGCAGGAACAGGCAGCAGCAGCAGCGGGAACAGGCATCAGTAGCAGCAGCAGGAACGGGGAGCAGGCATCAGTAGGAGCAGCAGGAACAGGCAGCAGCGGGAACAGGCATCAGTAGCAGCAGCAGGAACGGGTAGGCATCAGTAGGAGCAGCAGGAACAGGCAGCAGCAGCAGCGGGAACAGGCATCAGTAGCAGCAGCAGGAACGGGGAGCAGAATCAGTAGGAGCAGCAGGAACACGCAGCAGCAGGAGCGGCAGCAGGAACACGCAGCAGCAGGAGCGGCAGCAGGAACAGGCAGTAGCAGGAACAGGCAGCAGTAGGAGCAGGCATCAGTAGGAGCAGCAGGAACGGGGAGCAGGCATCAGTAGGAGCAGCAGGAACAGGCAGCAGCAGCAGCGGGAACAGGCATCAGTAGCAGCAGCAGGAACGGGGAGCAGGCATCAGTAGGAGCAGCAGGAACGGGGAGCAGGCATCAGTAGGAGCAGCAGGAACAGGCAGCAGTAGGAGCAGGCATCAGTAGGAGCAGCAGGAACGGGGAGCAGGCATCAGTAGGAGCAGCAGGAACAGGCGGCAGCAGGAACAGGCATCAGTAGGAGCAGACATCAGTAGGAGCAGTAGGGACCGGCAGCAGCGGCGGTCAGAGAACCATGCCCATGGTTGTGAGCCTCAGGAAATAAATGAATCTGAATCCGAAACATTCCCATGCGAATAACAGATGTCCTGTCTTGCTGCTTTGGTTATGGCAGATACGCATGAACGATCACTTTTCCATGCGTTCATTAGCTCCAACTCCACTTCACACTCATTGCAGATTCACATTGGGCCCTTTTTCTTTCTGCTGCACTTTCAAAATGCAACAACTGCAGTTTAGTTACCTAATCAATTAATACTAGTGACCCATGCAATTTAATATGCATGGCCCCTCCTTTATCCCTCAGATAATTAACAATAGTGACCTGCGAGTAATAAGATTAATGCTGTAGATGGCGCCGTGGCAAGAGCTCTGGTGTGTGCCGTCCGGAGCACGCTGGGGTAGTCTTGCAATTTTTCCAACGAGGTTTTACTGCAAGTGGCAAAACATGAATCTGAATTAATGCACATTGCTCCTCTTACATCCCTCAGACAAAAAGATTAATGCCATTTAATATGCAGTGTCCCTCAGTTAGCTCGAACACATGTGAAACGGAGCCTACAGACCAAGCACGGGGCGAAAACTGACGCCTGCAGTCCAGTGCGCAGGGCAAAAACCAACCGCAAACTTTGAATAAATCACAGATCATGAATAAGTATGAATGTTATAATGTGAATAGTACTTCATCCCTACAAGCCTGTTTTGTGAATTCTCACTCATAAGGGGACTTTATTAAAACATTTGTCACCATTGTTTATATCGGTTATACAATGTATAGGCATTGGATGCTGGGCAAGGTAGGCCTACGAGTTGCGCAGTTGCATTTTGCTTCAGTGTCTACATTACAAAACAAGTTTGTTTTGTTGGTGGTGACAAATCTGTTCCTGTTTGTACAACTATCGCTATAGCCCATTGCTCCCTCTGGAAAATGAGCAGGAGACAAGTCCACCTGAGTGCTTTGTTCTGGGCCGTCCCTAGGTCTTTACATCATCTAATTTCTGCATTGAGGGTACTGTGCACTCTTTTTTTTTCTTTGTGGCAAAGGTTTTTTTTTTTTTTTTTTTACTGTATTCTATCCTTACATTTAGTTCCACATACAGCAAGTAAATAATGCTCTGCCTCCAAGTTAAATTTACACAGCCCAGGTTTTAGTTTAACAAAATGGTTTGAAGTAGCCATGCGTCTTTATTCATACTAAGCATATCTATTTAGACTTGGAGATATTTGCGTGACACCATGATTTTAATGTATTTATAGATATCAACAATGTCAAAGGTGTGCTGAAATAAGTCATAACTCACCATGTAGGTCTTAACCAGGTCTTCGGGGTCTTCATTCAAGTACACGCACAGAGCCTTTAGGATGCAGAGTCGTCTTGTTTCAATGTTGAGTTTCTGTGAAAGACCAATTAAGTGTTCTTTTTAAACAGTAATATTCGTGTTATATTTTCAAAAATATATTGAGAAAAGTCAGGATGTTGTGTAAATGATGTTTAGACTTTTCATAAGAAAATGTTCTGTTATGTTGGTATAGAAAGTTAGAAAGTAAAAAAAACGCCATTTTTTTGACTATCCAGCAAGGATTCAATGTAAAACCCACCTCTTCTAGGGCCACCATTATCTCTGTTATTTTGCGTCCTGCGGCTCCTCCTTTCTTCTTGAACACCTTCATTAGTTTGTTGGACTATTGATCCAATTTACTCATAAAGGTGGGTAGCAGGGGGACAGTGGTAATCCGGGTAAACTCTGCATTTATCTTGAGCTGAAACAAGCAAGAGGATTAAAATAAAACATGATAGATTATTAAAAAATTGAAAAGTACCTGATTCTCAGAAAACAGCGCTGGCCATCTGTTTTTGAACTCCGTTACAAAGGGCATGTCTTCAATTACTTCTTGTCGCCAATGTGGAAAGGTCTTCTCCATAATGCTGTTGATTGTTTGGCAGTTGTTTTTCTTCCTTGCCTCCAATATAAGTCCTTCTCTTTCCTTTTAGAGACTTTCTTTGGTTTCACCCACTGGGTATTCTGGGCAGAAGTTAACTTCAGCTCTTTTGGGTTTGGGTTTCTTCACCTTGTTTGGACATTTGCCTGCGGCATCTCCCTCCCAATATTCCTTAATAATCTTGTGCGGTAATTTGCCATCTTATATTCTAAACTTATTTTCCAACCAGAGAAGCCTGTAACTGAGCCCTGTTCCTTTAAACAAAGAAACTTCAATATCAGGGCTTGGGCGACATCATCCAACTCCAAATTTGAAGGATAGACCTTGTATGTCACAATTTCAGATGCTAAACCTTCAGCATCAGATATATATCAGATTTCAATTTGGGACTTAGGTTCAAAAGTCTACCATTGCTTGTGAACGCTTGGTTTGCCCTTTCCAACTGAATTTATACCTCATAATTAAACTGAGGTATCTGGAAATGCTGGGGCCACGGCTGCGACCTAAAGGAATAGCCCGAGGATGTAGATTCGGGAGAGGAAAGCATGTCAGTGTCTGATGAGAAAGAACAGTCTTCTTCACGCTGTGATAAAACCGGTGGACCTGTGGTTGTGTCTGATGATTCAGATGGGAGGTAAATGACTTTGATGGTACTCTTGTCTTTAATTTCTGAGATATTGCTTAAGTTCACAAACTCATTATCAAAGTCCACGTCTCTGTACTGCAGTCTGAAGTTGTCAGGCAAGCTCATTTGTCTTTTTAGCTCTTCTTTGAACGCATCTACTGATCCTGGCATTCCATTGGGCAGAGTAAGTTTTGGTGAATCATCCACTGCAAGTACCACTCTCAGTGACACAGCCATTGTGTTCATTCTGAAAAACAACATATAAAGTAAGTAAGTAAGCTTTATTTATATACCGCCTTTCACAGACCAGAGTCACAAAGCGGTTTACAATTGTTATTTTTGGGCACTTGTCCTCTCACTCCACACAGAGATGGGAGCGGGGTCGCCGAACAGGAGGCGCATGCCAGACCTATTGTACATATTTTTAGTGGTAGGGGAAACCGGAGTACCCGGAGGAAACCTACGCAGAAACCTACGCAAAATGCCCACATTCAATTATACAAAAAATACTTTGCTAATGAAAACATAGAAGATATTATTTAAAGAAATTACCTGTCACATGTATAAATCTTTTTAAAGTTACCATCCGGACGGATCCAACCCTGTAGTCGGCCAGAGGATAGTGATCAGAAAGTTCCTTCAACTGAACCACCCCAAACTGTGTTGTTGGGTGTAACTCAAAAGCTCGATAGTGGTCTCTCTACCATGAGGTAAACTTTTTCACAATAAGACTCAATTCGTTTTGAATAATGCAGAGCTGAATTATCTCTGCAAACTCAGGCAGACCACCACATGATCCATGCACAACTATCATGCATTTTTGGTACTTTATGCCGTTGACGGTGACACTTTGAGCCTGTTTTACAGTTGTCATTTCAGGGTAATTCTGAGAGATTGCTTCTGCAACATTGTCTTTGAAGACCTCAATGGAGACTTCTGACATATGAGCAACTTCTAAGGAGATGTGTTCAGTATCAGGGCAAAGCATATCATGTGAAATCATTAACTGGTGTTTTGTTGTCAACGAGAAAGTTACATTCCTGAAGTTATTGATGTGTCTTGCCACCTGCTTAAAAAAGCTATGTTTGGATTCCAACCGCATGGTCCATAATGACACAAGGGGACCAAAACATTTGATCATTTCTGGATAATGTTCAAGATAATGATGTTTGGGCAATAACTTTTGACTCGGAAACAGTTCTGATATTTTGCCCTCCAAATATACTATTGATTTTTCAGTATGAACAGGTGCAGCCACCAGTTCGGCTATGTCCTTTAAATCCAAAATCACCTGCCAAGCGGGTTCCTCAAATGGAACAAGCTTTCCAACAATGAAAGGGAGAAACCGAAGAAGGCACCAGTTCTCGTGCGCATTGCCACCAATTGAATGGTTCTTATGGAATGTTTTTGGTATCAAATAAGGTCTGTTGGTTTTATCTCCATCTTTGTAAGGGAAAGAACGGATAAGACTATTGAGATGATCAAGAGTGAGTATCTTTTTAGATATGAGCACCTCAATGCACCTTGCTAGCTCGACAGGAACAATGCCTTCAAACAGGTCATGGGCAATGTCAGGGGGATAACCTGTGGTCACGTTAAAGTGAGAGAGTGCACTAGTCAAAATGCAAGACTTTTTTACCCCAAAGCAGCTTTCCCCTTTTTCTTGAGCTGTGTTGAGGTGAAGCTGATGAACTTCCTTGGTTCTTTTCTCAAACACTCCAGTTTTCACTTCTTGGGTCTGGATATCAGATCTTTGAGCTGTGCAAAAACGACAGAAATATGCTCCTGAGAAGCTCTCCACAAATCCAGCTAGCCCATGAGCTCCCAGGTTGTCAGCAACAACACATTGCACTGTGCCCTTGATAGACTCGCCAAGATCTTCAATATGTAGGCCTTCCTTCTCCAGATCACCAAATCATGCAACAGAGGTTCGAATATCTTCTCATAGCCAAATGTTTTTACATAATCGCTTTTGCATAACAGAGCCAGATATATTGAGGAAAGGGTTGAGTTACAACCAGGAGGTAGGTTCCCCAAAATCCAGTAAACTGCACAAAGCTTGTGCTTCTTGCGCGATGTACCCAATGGATTATAGACTTCAAAGTCATCTATGTAAAGACAAAGGGAAATCCTCAAATTCTCACCAAAAAACAGATTTTTTTGTGATTCACACCATCTTGGAAGCACACGTACTTGTTAACATTTGACGACAAGTTTGTATTTTGCAACTATATCTTTACGACCAAGTAAACGCTGTAGAGACTTCAGTAAAGGAACATATTGAAATGTCTTGTTTGATCTTTCCTCCAGTATGTACTCTACAGGTTCCACAACTTTAAATGTGTCCTTGTAGTATTGTTTGCGCTTGAACGTAGTGGCCAGTGGACCCCCTTTCGCAATAGCTTTTACCAGAGGATTATTAGTAGAAATGGCAACACTGAGCTCATCAATTATGGACTGAGCAACCTCAAGGTTATGCTTCTTGAAAGTGTCAAGAGCTGTACTATGTGATTTGGGTAGCGCTGCAGAGGTAATGATGAAATGCAACTCTTCAAGAAAACCATCAATTGCAGAACATGGTACATGTGAAACACCTCTAATTTCAAAAGAACCGTTGCCAGGCTTTTAATGATTGTTTCTTGCAAGTTCTCTATTGGAGTTTCACTTTCAAGCCAACATTGACCAAGTCTGAAGCACCTTCTCCAGGATGGCCATCAGGTGTAGGATGGTCACTTTTTACATTTGCACCTTTTACTAGTTCTACTTTAAAGTCTTTAGCTGTACAATGCAGATGCCTCCTGCTCTTGTGTGATTTATAAGTACCGTATATATTAGTTTGAAATGTACAATTCTGAAACACACAAGTCACTGTTTCATATTGCTTCAGATGATTATTGATGTGAGACAGGTACTCACTGCTAGACTGTATTTCACTTCCAGGACATAAAGTGCATATGAAAACACCAGATTCTACACTATTACTTGAGACAGTAACATGATATCTGTTCAGATGAGTTTTGAGAGCATTCCATGTTTTAAATGAACATGGACATTCATAGTATGTGCATGGATACGAGTGTCTTTGTCCATAATTCAATTTGTAGTGTTTAAGCAACAGGTACCTCGTAGATAGAGTCTCAGGGCACTGTTTGCACCTCCACATTGAGAACCTGCAAAACAGACTGACGTTAGAAATAATTTCAGATTCATTAACTACATTTTTTAAGTAGTAGTCCGTCTACAATTCACCTGCACAATGCTAATCATGTTTTTTTGTAGTAACTGCATTAAAGACTGTCATTTGGATACAAAAAAGGTTATGCAAATGGAGGGACAAACCAAAATAACAAGACCCTTTAATGGAAAATGAGCATGTCCCAATCACCATGGTTTGCCTCAAATCCAGACAATAACACAAATGGTACAACTTATACATCTTTGTTCTTGTTTGTAGAGAGAACTCGGAAGCGAAAGTCTGTCCACTCAAATAGTAACTGTAACTCTATTTTAAATTAAAATGTATTCCTTAGAAGTGTTTTTTATTCTTTATTTTTTATTATCTCTTTCTGACTGTTGCACTGAGCCAAAGCAATTTCCAAGTCTGTGACTTCCTGTTACTTACGTGGCAATAAAAATGATTCTGATTCTGATAGTCCGGGTGAAAAATAGACCGTTCCGGGCTACCGCGCACGCACAGACACTAATAATCATGCAATACGGAACGGCACGCTTATCCATAACACACTGCTGTTCATACAACCTCGGCATAGCCATAATTTCGAGTGAAAACGTTTCAATACTGCGCACACACCTTGTACTGATTGAAATAGCTAATTCAACATTTAACAATGATTGAAATAACAGCTAAACAGAAGCTATGTTGAAGATGAAAGTTCTGATCAATAATTATATAACTATGATATAAATGTTACTTCTAACAACAGTTGAGGCGAGAATAATAACCCTTTAAGGTCATTGTGGTGATTTATTTAGTGGCATAGAGATAGTTCGGACTAGCGGGGAGCTCCGCATGTGGCAGAAGCTAGCGTTAGCTGTTAGCAGCTATCAGCTGCTGTGTTTGCGGCGCCATTATTGCGAAAGCATG